CAACCAACCCACACCCTTGCTCTAAGCAGATTCTGCTCTGTGATGCAGAAAAGTCGGGGTGTTTGTGTGCTAAAAGCAAGAGTTTGCTTTTCCACCGCTGAGCAGCAGTGACCCGCGCGGGGCTCGGAGGGGGCTGCCGCCCGCACCCCCGTGTCACGGCCCTCCATGTCGCAGCCTCAATGTTACTTGCAGGTGAAGGAGCTTTTGTATCCGATTTCCTTGTTTCTGGTTCATGAAAAGGAAGCTGATGAAAACAGAAGATGCTGACCTATGACGGAGAGCGGGTGACAGAGGATGTGGGTACGTGGGCGTGGGTGGGAGGACCACGGGCGTGCTGGGAAGAAAGGGATGGAGGCTCAGGGCTCACTCAACCCGAGCGTTCACACGAGCGTGGACGGAGAAACAGAAATCCTTAGCCTGCTCCTGGGCTTTTTAACATTCCCAATAAAATACTCACTGCTAAGGGTCTTTATATGGGATAACTCTTGGGCAAATTCCTTAGGACTTTCAGTTTCTCTTTTAATACTTACATTTTGTTTTTAGCAGTAATGTTGCTGTGACCATAGTGGTCTGAGGATATAGGGGAATGAGGTTTGCAGTAGCTCCCTCTTGAGAAAAATATGAGTAAACATGTTTTTCTTTTCTCTTGGGTAACTGTTAGGAAGAGGAGCATTTGTATCTGAGGTGATGCTCTGGCTTCTCAGGTAGATTATACAAACCTGTTCTAAAAAGTCACATAATTTAAAATCCTAAAAATCAATTAAAAATGTAAAAATATACCTATTTATCTGTAAATAGCAATGACCCTGCAGAATTTATTTGGATCTATTACGCAGCATTTGAAACAAAATACATTTTTAGAAAACCTGATCTATCACATAGACTGTCTAAAGAAATATAATGGCTTTCTGAGCTGGACAAGAGGTTTGTTTTCAGTGAGTTCCTTGACATTTCTGTTTTAAAAATTACTAATAAGAAAATGAGTCAACAAGGAAATTCACATACAAAATCTGCACTTGAGTAACATTCCCAAATGTTGGGAAATTCAAGTTATGGCTAGTGCTCTGTTCCTATGTCTCGGGGTCACATTATGAAAGGCCACCTGCACAGAGATTGCAACATCTCCAGCCACATCTCCTATTTGGAGACATGAACTCGTGAGACAGCTTGAACTCATGCTTGGACTTGAAGCACCCGAAAACTGACTATGGCTTCAGGTCCCCGTCTCAGGGATTGCTCCATCCCGCAGGTGGGGCCATTTGCAGTATTTCTCTCCAGCCCTAGACCTAGATTCTGGAAAGAAAAAAAAAAAAAAAAAAAAAAAAAAAGACAAAAATTTTCTTGGAGACCAGATCCCAGGCTCTGGTCCAAGGCCACGGCTTCACATTCAGCACAGATGCACCTCGAAACCAGGCTCTGTGCACACAACCGCACGTGGGCATGGGCACCCCCGGAGCACTTCAAGATGGCCTGCTGGAAATTTGGCTTTCACATCGTCTTCAGCTCTCCTTGGTCTCCTCTGCCCACACTTGGCATTGTCTAAAACCTGCTTCTGTCCTCCAAAAAATACAGAACCAGACTTGGGAGGAACAGGGGAGCAAAGATCAGCCCGAGAGAGGCTCAGCAGAGGGCCAGTTTGCCTGTCCATCCTCTTTTAAAGGTCTTTATCATTGGGACTGCCTTATTAACAAAACAAAACAAATTTATTTTCTTGTAATCTAATGGTTAATACTTCTTGTGGGAGATCACCACCACGAGTCTGTGATACATGCATGTGGGAATTGAGGGATTAAAAGTGAAAACTTTGCAGGAAGTACTGGACTATGATTTAGGACAGGAATGAAATTATTTATGTCAATAAGCAACGAGCAGGCTCTGTTCTCATTTATGCAGGCATAAATCGTTTCATGGAGATAAGAAGCATTATTTGGAGTTAATTCTGGTGTAAGTTAACCCAAAAATCCAGGTCAAGCCTTTTTGCCTGGATGAATGAGAAGTGACAATTTATGGCATGGGTGTGGATGGAGGTGTGTGTCAGAATTTCTTAGGAATGATGCAACGGATAAAGGTGGAATATTTCTTACACCTTCCAAAAATATTATAATGTGAAATTTGTAGCAGCAAGACACAATCTGTGCTGCATGCATACAAAACCTGTTTTCTGTTATCAGTGACTGTGGGACAAATCCAACACCTTTTAAAGCTATAAGTCAGAAGATCTTTATAAACTCTGGTGTAGTAACTTACTCAGGACACACTGGCAGTATTTGATTTCAAGGGTGTAACATCATCTGGGCAGGAGAAAGGGATTTTGCAGTAAGAACTAGGAAATGGACATTCAAAATAGAGCCAATAGGGCTTCTAAATTAGGACATGATGAAAATTACATCCCGCAAAAATTGTGCCTTGAAGTCCTGTTGACTTTGCCTCCTAAATCAAAGACCAGCCGTGTACCTGTGCTGCAATAGGACCGTATGACATCGTCCTCATCCTTATCTGGAGTTTCTGCCTTTATATCATAACCTCCCGTGCCAAATTTCCAGCAGGCCTCAAAAAGTAAATGCAAACAAAGAAGATAACACATCTTTGTTATCTTTGACTTGGACAAAATCTGCAGTCAGCAGCTGGCAGGAGCAATGTTGACTTTTGCCTCACCCAGTGTAATTTCCGTTCTTGTGGTCACTAGAAAACACATGCCACCAAGTCTGATTGGGGACCTGCTGGCATTTCTTGCTCTACCAGAAGGCATCTCATTTTGCAGCATGCCGGCACAAATCTGCACAATTTGCAACCATTTTGCACCCAAAGGTTTCTCTGTATGGAAGTCAAGGGCATCACTGGGTTCACTTTGCACAAAGAAATCTGGACCCAAAAGGAGTTTGGGAGCACAAGCAGAGAGGGAAAAATTGCAGGAGGTAACAAAAAAATGGATCAAATGGGAAAGAAAGGAACTAGCATGGCTGGAATACCAGGTTGCCTCTAAGAAAAATGTTTTCCCCTCCTGAACGGTGAAAAATGGCAGGAAAAATTGTGCAGACTCTTTCCTCACTCCTCACTCCCCAACGAAGC